CAAATTTGATTTCATTGATTGATTTGTTTAATTGATTGATTGAATTTATTGATTTTTGCAATTAAAGCCAAACGGACAAATAAATCGCATTATTGTCACGTCGCATCAGTCACAGCGCTCGTAGCGGCAGAATTGTGAAACTTAGTGTACCCCATGTTTTAAATATGTTTGAGGCTAACATCAAAAACATAAAGCCCCATAAATTGTCCAGGGAGTCAATATAATCCTTTTTAAATTAACTAAACATTCCAGACAGAAACGGTCTAGCCCATAGGTTCTCAAATTTGTTGGCTCACCACCCAATTAGGCAAGACAACAAAATTGACAACACGTATTTTTTATATTAACACAAAAAAATAAGGAGCACCCGTGGACAACATCAACGCCTCCAATTGCCTCCGAGGCCCCTACCCCCTGGGATTCATCAGTGCCCACTTACCACTTTGGGAAACTATGATCGAGCCCAATCACATAAATACTTTAATGTACGGTATTTTATAATCATAATAACGTGCCTATCTTATAAATGAATCTCCTGGTATAAACTGATATATTCACCTTGCTATGAGTTATCAAATTAGTTCCGGTAGTCTCCGTAAATTAACATATTGTTTATTCATATTGATTTACTACTTTAGCTACAGTTCCTGGTCTGACATGAACCGAGCTTATAACTTTTGTACCATGTTAGGTGAGAGAGTATTAATCTGTTTCAATATCAGATGTTTAGTACGAGCAACGAATTGTACGCGCACTGCGCTCCTGCAATGTTGCAGAGTTTAGCAAAAGTATATTTCATGCTTTTTACTCCTTCTTGTGACGTCTAAGGGCGCCGTATATGCTCACTAATTCACACCACACACCTTCCCACAACACTACCAATTGAAAAACATGTTTTACATCAGGGTCCTATACCATAAACGCTATAATTTATATTTCACAATAACATGTAACAAGTTAAAATACGCGCACATTTCTGTTCAATAAAATTTTCATACTTGTTAGAAACAAATGCTTTATTGGATGCAATATTATTTTTATATTTTATAATTCCGGTAGGTGACCTCAGCCTGTATCAAAACCGTAGTGAAAGTGATATATTATATTGAGTAGCGAGAATAGCCATCACGAAAATTGAATTCGACCTAATAACACATTTTCATTTTCCACAATTTTGAGATAATATAGTAATTTGATTGTTGCTCTTACTTTTATCTCAAAAACGTCACCAGTGAGAACTTCAGTTACGCATTTTTTCATAGGTCTTTTTTTATTGATTTTTGTTGTAAATATATTAATAAAATAATAAGCATCTGAAAGAAAGTTTTATATATTCAAATGCTAACTATATACTGACATTATTATGCACCACATTTTTATTTGCGCCCTGAAAAATTGCATAGAAATCACTTACGAGGTTTTCACCGGTAAGAAGACGAATAAGTAATAATAAACAAACCTAACCTGTAACCAAAAATTTTGTATTTTCCCATCTTCTATGACACAATTTTTTAAAAATAAATTAGATTTTAAGTAATATACCACGCATACAAATTCGTGAAACACAAGTGGAATACGACAGGCATTTTTGCAAATTGTTAAGTTTTATTGAACAGAATAAGGCGTGACAACTCAGTTATTTATTATTATAACTTGCTAACATAGTTGACATTTTTGAAAAAAAATCTTGGAATGTTTTATTGTACAGGGCTTAGGTGGAAACACTATAATATTTGTTGTTGTCTGAAAAGTGGGATTATATTCTTGAATGGCATGCAACTAATTTATTATACACTTTGCTAAAAGTAGTGTTTCTAGTCAATCGGTAGTAGGCAGGAGCGCAGTCCTTTTGCCTGCGGTGACCATGTTAGCATAATGATTGTTGTAACTCGGGAGATGCGAGAGATGTGTCTGAGAATAAAGCTAGTCATGTGTTTATATTGTCGTTTTATTTATTTGTTTACCACGCCTATTAGTATTAACGATATGTACCTTTTCTAGCTTCTTAATAGGAGCGGATGTAGAGTCATTAATTAGTAAAATACTAACATTCCACTGTGGGTAATCTTATAAAAAAAAATCTGGATAAAAACGAGTGATTAGCAGCAGAGTTCCTTGTGTTCGTCCAGGGTAGTACTGCCACCTATTTCTGCCGCCAAGCAGTAATGTCAGTTTGGAAGGGTAAGGGTGTTGGTGAAATTTAGGCACATGGGACTTGTCAACTTATCTCTCAGGGTGATGGGTGCAGTGGCAGTGCCCCTTAGATCTTTGCGATTTAAAGCTCTTGAGTGGCACTGCAACTGTTATGGATAGGCGTGTAGCTTGCCATCAGGTGCACGACTTGTTCGTCCCGTCACTTCACATAAAAACAAATTTTTAAAAATCTTCGAAGATTTTTGGGCATTATGCCATTGGAGGAGCGAATTAGGATAAGTTTACTTTCGAAATATCGGCACCTAGATTTTTTTTCTTCGAATAGTGTCAATTACGCTGATTTTACTAATAAAACTGACACTAAATAAAATATAAAAAACCAATTAGACGGGAATTGTAGATCTCCTTTCGCTTATATATGTATATGTTAATCACATGAACGGTTGTTTACGATAAGAGCGGAAGTGTTTAGAATAGCTAATGTTGAAGAAAGAGTCGTGAACGGTTGACTTTTTACTTTCAAATTTTGAAAACTCGATTGCGCGTCTGCGACTGCACCTTGACGCTGTAGTATTTCGTCAACGTTTAACGGCGCGAGCATTCTCGAGAATTCCGCAGAAGACACGCGACGTGATTTTCGACTCGTATCTAGTTTGTACGTTACATAATTGACCATAAAGTAATTCCGGTACAATATCGTTACAAAAATTCGCTTCCATTACGTTCCGTCGCAATATTAATATTGACGGGTTGATTAATTATTACGGGCATTGAATCTAAACTGAAATGGTATCAAAGGTAATCACCAGAATAACTTGTTGAATTTGCAGGTAAATAAATAAAACAATGTATTCTCATAATAAATATTATTTCAACATTCCGTAGCCTAATAATGTACAATGGAGGCGACAATGCACACAAATTAAAATAATATTTACAGAGAAAATATGAATTGCACTGTCAGCCGTCGCACCGTATTGTGGTTGTTTGCGACACTTATAAGATCCTACGGTACAACACATAATATCACAGAAAAGTGAACGAGAAACGTTATAGAATGGCAGTAAACTGTTTATCACAGAATAAGGTAAGGGTGGTCCCACACTGATGATTATAAAACGTTAGTCATTCAGTGGTAAAGAACATTTTATTTATAACAAATCTGTAAGCTTCGTTTTATAACTTCAATGTTAGCACCATCACATTGCGCCTGACAACAAAACCGACATCGCCAAGAGCGTAGTCTTACCAAAGTTTTAAAATACATTTTAAATAAATGATAAAACAAAAGTAACTTTGTCAAGCCCAGAGCCAAAAAGCAAGGCCATTCTATAGCGAATATATTTCAATTTTCCATGGACGCTGCAATAATTTATCAACTATATAAAAATAAAATCGCTTACTCCACAACTTGATTATTTTGCATTAAAATTCTATCAGCTAATGGTACTACAATTGGCCTATTACAAAATATGATAAATTGTGATCACCCATAACGCAAACCCCTACCGTCAATTTATAACATAATCTTGAGTATGTAATAATAATAATAGAAAATATTTATCTAGTAGCAAATCGCTTTCCTGCAGTGTAACAAAGTTTTTAACACCAAGTTAAGGAGTAAGTTATATACAAACATTATTAACACGAATTTTAGTCAATTTATACCAATTGATGAGGAATGGTAAATGTATCGAGTTCATTTTTAACAAATAATGTTTTAATGGTCATGACGAGAATCGGCAAATTGCTTTCCGTCAGTTCCTTTTACAATTTTTTATAAAATAATAATTTTCTTTGGTTGGGATAAGTAGCGTATTTTCAGGTAACAGAAAAATTATGCTACGATTATACAATTTTATGCCAAATGATTTTTATATTGGAACTGGCGGAGTTGTTGAGAATTTCGAACACTGCGTTACGCAAAATTGTGGAGTTTTATTTCCCGTACTAATACGGTTCAATTTTGCTTGGGTCGAGCGGCCGGGACACTGGCTTTATTTCAGAATTTAAAGCCTTTTGAAAAATGTATATCGTATTGTATACGTGTTCTATTCAGTACAGTTTATATATAAAAAAATCATTGGTATATGTAAAGTACCACAGCGGTTTTCTTGTGACATTTCGAGGTAAGTTTGTGTTTTCTATCGTGAAAATTTTTAAGTATCGTGTTTTCACGCCGTGTACTAATAAGTGTATTTCCTCAATTTTACTATATATTTTTTCCAAAGTGATTGTTTTAACACTTTCACAGTATTGCGGAATGAAACAAAGCCATTTGAGGCTCTTAATGTCAATAAGTTATATTTTTATATAATGTACGAGGAACAAAAGTTCTCAATGACGTTCACAAATCTTTACGAGGTATTGCCAACTTTGCAGTGGTCAAAATTCTCAGACTTAAAATTCAATTCGTATTTACAAATGAGGGTTGTTTCACCATCCTAGTACTGGAGGACGTGTACAATGTCACAAGATTGTATTCTCCGAGGATAGCAATAAGATGGCAAGAGAACCTTTAGGGCCAATGTAGACTTGCATTTTTACCTTAACGATTGGACGTTTTCATGGTGTTAAGAGTACAAAAATAAAAGTAAGTACAGCTGTTAAAGGTTATTTTAGATGGGTTCTGCTTTTTGCGCCTGCATAGGTCGAGTCAGAGTGAGTAACTGCCACATCTTCAACACGGTCCCGTATACTGCGGTTAGTGTGACAGTAGTATCTCTCTTTTTCTCCTAAGATAACTATGATAGTCATTTGAAATGCGATGGTTAAGGTAAATATGTAGTAACGTCTACATAGGCGGTAACGAGTTAATAACTAGAATTAAGGCTAGATCGGTGTCCTCAGAGTGCCAACGCTGCAGAGCGCTTGTCGCGGCTTTTGTTGCGTGCCAGAGTACGCGCTTTGCACGCCGCGGTGTTTTGGAGGTGCTGCAAGAGAAACCAATAGTGTATAATGTGACTGTTACATAACGAAGAGCGTGGATTTATGAAACGAGCCGATAGGTGAGTCAGGGCCGGGAGGAACATTTGTATGGCCTACATTTATTTCTCTCGTGAGTTTGGATGTAATTTGTGGTTGTCTATGTGTGTGTGTTATTATTATTATACCCATTTTTGCCGCGAAGTAACGTCAGCATTACTGTGTTCCGGTTTTGAAGGGTGCTGGTGAAAATGGGACTTGCCAACTCATGTCCCAGGGCGACGGGCGGAGTGGCATCGCCCCTCAGATCTTCAATAACCGTTACGGCAGGACCGTACCCGCTCGTCTCAATCGGCGGGAGGTAAACCCACATATGTACAAAGGTGTTCCCCCGTAACATCGAGTGTATAACCAGGAATAGAGACGAAATGTCATTTAATTTGTTTGAAAACTATTCTGCCAAATCATTACGGTGACAACTGCGCTCCGATTGGCCAGCCCGAGTTCGGTTCAGTTTCAGTGTCGACATTTATACGAGCCGCGTCGCCAATGCGTGGCAGGAGCACTCGGCCCTTATCCCGTCTCTATTCCCGGTCGCACGCCCGACGCCCG